ACATGGAGGGTGAGTCTCTGGGGCCTGATTGGTGAGGAAAGGGAATCCAAAGCCCTTCAATCATCTTTTACCTTTTCAAAACCCCTGGGCCAAATCACTACCAGCTAGCTTGTCACACTATATTCAGCCAGATTTAATCTTAACCCAGTTTCAAATGGCTGAAACCAGTTTATGTGCACTGAGCTTCGGCCCTGTTACAGGTTTAAACTGATCACTTAAACTGGTTGATATGTAACTTCTGTTCCTAGCCTAAATGTGCCAAACCTAGAAACGAGGCAATGAAAGTTGCTTTGAGTTTCTCCCCATGCTGCTGCTCTCAAGATCTGTCTCTTGTGGAAGAGGTGGCAGTGTCATTCTGGGAGTGATTTCATCTCATTTCTGATTTTGATGCGTGTGATGTGGGAATGCTTTTCTGATATATCAGGGCAGTGGTGCAGGCATACTGTAAATTCCCATAAACTTCTTGTGATTTTTCAAAATGTTGTATTTCCTCATGATATACAAAGAAAGCCTGAAAGTGTATGCATGTGTTCCTGAGAAGTGTCAGGAATGTTAAAATACTGTACAAATGGGATTATATGGTGTGGTTGCCTGTGATTTAGTATGGAGCTGGACACAGGATGTGCTTCCCGTCTTGCATCCTGTATTCCAGTGAAGCAACGAAAAAGTCCAGTGCCTCTGAGCTTGGCACGTGAGGTGGAATGGAAGACTTCACCCTCTCAGATTTCTCTTCAATCTTCTGGACTCATTAGAGGTCTTGGTTATGGTTTATGACGTTTTATAAACTCCCAACGGAAGGAGCAGGCTTTGATTTTTTACCAAATATATTTCTTCTCCCAAGCATTTCTCAGGTCTTATATTTTCATATAATCATAGAAAAGTAAGGCTGGAACAAACTCTAGGCAGTCATCCAGTCTAACTTCCTGTTCAGTGCAGGAACATCTTTATCTAAGTTGTCCTAGACAAGTGTTGGTATAACCTATTTGTTACAGACTATGGAGTTTCCCCCAGGGCCCCCAATTTCTTCCCACTTCTGCGCTGTTTGTCTCATGGAATAGACAGTTTACCCTGGGATGGTTTCTTGTTTCTGTAAGTCTCAGCAAAACTTTCCCTTACAGCATATTCCACAAGCTACTGTGCAAAATTTTTGGTTCTCCCCCCATACACCCCTTCATAGAAGAGGCACACCTGGAATGTCACTTGTTTTGAGATCACACTTCACTCCAGGCAATCAGTAAGGCAACTGGAAAGCAAAAGATTTATTACATAGAAGAAAAAAGTTGACCATGTAGTTTAGAGGCAGAATAAAAACAACAGATAGAATTTGTTACCACCCTCTTTCCTGTTTATAATGCGGTTCTTCATTGATCAGCCTGTCTGATGACCGGGGATCCTGGCTTTGTCCAATTTAAAAAAAAACAAAACCAAAGCCCAATCCCCCAATATCCCACATTTTTCCATGATCAAAATGAAAACTATCTATCATGGGAAAATGTGGATTTGGGGTTACTTTTTAAATCTGAAAATCAAAGAAGTCCTTACTAACTGTGTTTAAGAATTTCATAGTAGATTTTCTCCCCAGAAAATTACATGAATTTCTAGTTTGAGCAGTAACATTCGGCCTACATAAATTAGTTTAGAGTTGAACTAAACATTAAACATTGGATTTCAATGTTTTTTTTAATTTGCCTTTCCTTGTGTAACTTTGCTGTGTCCTGTTAAAGCTGCCTTTTCTTTCCATCTCAGAATTGGCTGTCAACAGTGACTGAGATGATGCATATTTTTAAATAGCTGAAGTGCTTATGAAAGATGCTATGTAAATATTATATTTTACCTTCGAAAGTTAATGAAAACATAAAAATACAAGAAAAACTGTGGTTTAATGTCTGCTATTTAAATGTAAAACTCATGAGGGTTGAGAGGTATATGAGAATATAGGCATATGGATTCCTTGTTCATTTACTTTTTTTTTTTTTTCAAAAGTCAATAGTAATACTATATTTTTTGCATATAACATACCCAAAATATAACATGCACCTTGTTTTTGAAATGCAGAATGAAGGAAAAAGTCTCTCTCCTTGTAGTAACTGCGTAGCACCAGTTAGGAAGCTGAGCCTGCTCATTGGCCTCCCTCTGGATAATGTGCAGTTACTTTCATTTTTGCTTGGCAGATGCTTAAATACCAGAAACTGCTGTTGTTGTATTTTCCTTGCTTACAATGTGTGTCCCAATTTCTAGCAGCCATTTCTTGGAAAACTTTCTTCTGTATGTGACTGAAGGTGATACAGATCGTGTGTGTAAAAAGTGCTGCTCTGTTCTATTTAGGTTTTTCTGCTTTTGCAATATTCACTTAATCCCGCAATAAAGTTTGCCAGCTGGGATCCCAGTACAGTGGTTCTCTACTTTGGCTTATGATAGTGGATTCCTTTTTAGGAGTAGTATGGGTAGGGTGACCACCCTTTCAAAATGGAAAGGTAGGACACACACCCACCTCTCTCCTTCACCCCATCACTTTCACCAGCCACACGATCAGAGAACTGAGTGGAGCAGGAGTGAATGTGGTCTGCCTGCTGTGGGCTCAGGGCTCCCTGCCCTGCTGCCCTCCCCTGTGAACCCTGCATCAGCTGTGCACCCCCTGCCCACCCAGCAGCAGTGGGGGGACAACTCCACGCCACTGCCTCTGCTGCCGCTGCTACCAGGCAGGCAGGGGGTAGCTCATTGTGGTGGCCCAGGGCTACCAGTGGGAGGGCAGCTGGGTGGGGACCCCTGAGCCTGCAGCAGGCAGCCTGCATCTGCCCCCACCCTTCGCACAAATCTGGGGGGGGGCACATGCTCCCCCCAGGAGTGTGCGCAATGGCAGAGTGCTGTACTCTCACCTTCCAGATCAGCCTCCCATGGCTCTGTCCTGTTCCCTGCCCTGGCCCCTGCACCACTCCCTCCATTACTGTTGGGGCCTCAGTCTACCCCCCACCATGCTCCTTCCTTCCCCCATAGACTTACCTGCAGGGAGCTGTTCTCCATGCTGCCTGGCTGTATTCCCAGTGACATGTATGTGTGTGGGCTCGCATATACATGTGGTACCCCTTGCCCCCACTCCCAAGAGCTCCAAGTAGCCCTTTGCAGGCTGGAACACTGTTGGCCTGAAAGGGGAAACCTGCCATTTCCCATGGTGAACAGAAAATCTGGATCCCTGTACAATAATACTAATCCAGGAAAATGCTGCCCAGGAGTCATGAGGTTCCCATTTTGGGACTGTTCTGCCCAATTAGGGATGGGTGGTCACCCTGAGAAGAGGTCAGAAAGGTTGGCTGATGGCTGTAGTGTAGTTGCTGTGCAGTTAAGCATGGAAAGACAGATTGATGTTTCTCAATAAAATGAGATCTTGAGTTTGTTCCTATGGGTTTTTATTCCTCCCCCATGTTTTTTTTTGTTTTCTGCTCTTCTCTCTGCTGAGGTTCAGAGGGAGAATGAATCACCAGTTTTCTTCAGGCTGTGAACAGCTATTAAAACTAGGCTACTTCAGCTGTAGCTGTTAATTTTAAAGTCCCTATGGCAACAGTTCTAAACTAGCAGATATAAGGATGAGATTGTGATAAGCTTAATCTTATTAATGGCATTGAATTCAAATCATCCTATTGATATAAATCGGATTATTGGTGGAGTAAGGCACTGCAAGGCTGTCACAATCTGACCAGGAGGGAGCCGGAGCTTTTGCTCTGAGTAAAGTGGTGTAGCAGTGGTTAATAGGGGGTGTGTCTACATGAGATGCTTGATGAGCAAAAAACTGATTCTACTGTGAATTAGCATAGTGGGCAAAGCTTGTGCTAATGAGCTAATGCGCAGTAGATTTAGTGTAATGGGCAGTAGCATCTTAAAAAAAATGTTCATCTGCACTAATGCGCAGGAGCACCTATTACGGTGCATTTAGTACCTGTTATTACAGGTATTAAACTTAATGCGCCATAATTATGGCACGCTAATAAATATTTAGATGCACCCTGGGACTAGTTGGTAGAGCAGATAGAGATTTTTCTTTCTGAGTTCCAAGAGGAACTCGGGAGAAAATATCAAATGGAAACATGAAGAGCTTGCTTATTGTGAGAGAGATTGGATCGTATGTTTCTCCTGGTTTTTTGGATTTGTTTTAGTCTGATCATTAAGTTTTTTGTGGGGGAGGGTTGTTTTGTTTTGGGTGCTTTTTTGGTTGTCCAGTTTGCATTAAAATTTGTGGGAAACCCTTCCTGCCGTATTGCCTGCGCTCCCACAGACATACCTGGAGGGATCTGTGGGAGCTGCTCTCTACCCCTGCTTGGCTACCACGTGCATGTGCATGTGGCACCCCTGCTTCTGATCATCCTCCCTCACTCCACCTCAGACCCAAGCAGCTCCTTGCAGGTTGGAACTCTGCCAGCCTGCAAGCGGGACCCTGCTGTTTCCTGTGATTCTCTCCTTTAAAGGAGGAAATCTGCATTTTTGCTTAATCAATGGAAAACCTGGATCCCTGCTGATTAATTATGTCTTAAGGGTAATGTCTGCCAGGGGCCTCAATGTTATATTAAAGGCAAGTAGTTGTCGAAATAGTTGTTTAAAAGGAATGAACAAATTGCTTCATCTTTGTTTTGTTTTGGAACTGGATGTTTAAAAATCAGGATCTACCATTGATTTCATCATTTAGGGGGCTTCATTTAATTTTCTGATAAACTGGAAAGGAACAAAGGAGTATATATTATGAAGACACAGATTACTCTGAACTGCTTGTTTTGGCCAAAAAGTCTGCTGTACATACCTCATTCAACACTAAGCTTGGAAGCATTTTAAAAGCTGAACGTTTAATGAGATTACTGTACTTAATAATAATTAATACTGGGATATGCATAAGTTTCATGGCACTAATTTCTATCATTAATAAGCATTCTCTGTATGTGTTATGGAAATTTTTTGTTATGCCACAGTAGATGAATTAAAATAAATAACATGTTATTGATTTTATTCCTTTGCAGAAATGTGTAACAGAAGAATGTTTCTTTTTTGAGCGCTTGGAATCCAACAACTACAACACTTACCGGTCACGGAAATATTCTGATTGGTATGTGGCACTGAAAAGAACTGGGCAATACAAACTCGGATCTAAAACTGGACCAGGACAGAAAGCTATCCTTTTTCTTCCCATGTCTGCTAAGAGCTGATTTCAATGGCAGATTGCAAAGTTTATGCCAGAACACAGTAAAGATGTTGATTTCCGCATTACTTCTGAAAGTAGAAAAATGTGATCAAGTATTTGCTGAAAAATTATCTACTTTTGCAAATATTTGACTATACTAAATAAACATTTATATAATGTAACCTTTAAATTACTGTATGTTCTGAAACTATTGTGCCATATGTGTTGGGGGGAAGCATCTAGAAAATGCATAGAAATTTCAAGTTTGGCATTATGTCTGTTTTCCACCTGATATCTAATTAGAGCTACTATATTTGCCTTATATTAGCTTTACAGTGTAAAGGAAAATTTAAAACCATGCACACTTACAGGAATATTTACTATGTAAAATATATAATTTTTATCACTATAGCTTACTAAAATAATTGAAATTCAGCCTGAAAACAGTTCATTAATAATTTTAATGTGGTACAAGCACACCCAAATTTTAGAAGATTGTTATATATTTAATTTAATAAATGTGAAGCTTCTTATAATCCTCCCATGTCCTTATAAGACTCTGGTAGCTCCCTGTGGTACAATTTATAGACTTGGCCTGTGTAAACAGCTGAAAATTCTTTCATAGTTATATCAATCTTATCAAACCCTTCCCTGTATCCATAAAGTAACAATTTAGCTACGCTGCTGGTGATGGGGGTAGCATCTTTCGTCTTGGCAAGCTCATCAAGGTCCATCCATTCACACCTCAGGCACTCCTGCTGGCAGAAGCTGATGTTGAATGAGGAAGGCTCCAGGCGACAGATGATATACATATCTGACTTCCCAAAGGCTCCAGGGTGTCTGTGTTGCTGTCTTATGCTTAGGATGGACTTGAATTCTGACTTGATGCCAGTCTCTTCAAAAACTTCTCGAACTGCTGTGTCTCCTAGGTAGAGAGAAAATTCTTATAGCACATGTAAGAACAGACTTTCGAAATCTTTTTGTAATCTTAAAAGGTTTCCAACAGCATTATCTCTATTTCTAACAAGGTTTTGAGAATGTAAAGGCTATACAATCCAGCATCAGAGTAAGTGCAGTTTTTATCCTTTGAACAGAACCAGTTGCCTGCAGGCTATTTTGTTTTCGTGTATATTGTATCAAATGATTAATGTAGCTAACTGTCCTCAATATTGTACGAGTAATATACACTTCTAAAATGGATACTCAAATGGTTGCAGAGAACAAAGATATTTGTTTTTGGATAAATGCTTCCTGTTATCCTAAAAATGTATGTGTTAATTTCAAACCTTCAAAAGGCTGATGTTCTTTTTGTATCTAAGCATTTGCACCTCTGTCTGACTGTGAGAGCAAATGAATTGGTTTAGAAGCAGAAGTTCATAATATATATCCCAGGTGTAAAATCTGGTAACAAATTTTACTCTCACAAAAATGATAGTGATCGTTAGTCCTTCTGAAAATTTGCCTTAAATGTCTTTTAATATAATTAAAAAGATGGAATCTATCAATGGATAGGGAATGTCCCTTCGTAGCTCCTCGTAATGTTGAATATATAAGCCCTGTGTACACTGATTGGTGAGAAATGAATATTATTTCTCCTTGCAAAAATCTATAGAAGTTTGCTAAAATCAGTAACCATGTTAGAGAAGTTAATGAAATTACCTGGGCACATGAGTAAACTCTAAATAAATGAATGAATATGTGAATTAGTGCACATGCACAAACTTTGGAGCTTGTTGATCCAAAGGTTTTTGCTCCTGGATGCACCGTTTGAACGTGTGCCTGGGAAAAACTAACTCCGGAGCAGTCAGCTCTGGAATTTATTGATATGCGGCATATGGAGCCCAGATGGAGCAGCCCCAGCTGGCAAGGGGCTTAGGGGCCATCCTGCCATCCTGGGGCTGCTCCAACTAAGCTCAATATGCTGTGGAGAGGCTGGCTGGCTGGCATGAGTGTGCTCCAGTCCTGGGCTAGCCAGCAGGCAGACCCTGCACTGAAGCACCCTTGTGCCCAGCCAGCCAGGTCAGCATCTACACGTGTGCTGCTGTGCACGAAATAAGCTTGTAGCAAGGTAGTAGTTGTAAATATACTATTTCATATATTTGTACTCCGCAGTAAATTCAAGTTCTACCCTGCGGTGGAGTGTATTAGTTTCCTGTGCCCTAATAGAGGCGTATATGTAGACGCTGAGAAGCTTACTGCAGAGATAATTAGCCAGCTCTGTAGTAAATGTCTCGTGTAGATGTGCCCCCCATGTGCTTAAAATTAGAACTCTTGAGTCGGGGCCTAAGTAGCTAATGATTATCACGGTAACACACTATTATTGTGTATTTACCTCCAGAACTTTTACTAACCAAATTCTGAAGAGTTATTTTTGAACAGCAGCTAGAGAGATCTGATATGCCAGGCATTTAGCAAAATTATGCAGCTGTAGCTCATTCATAATAAATTTTTCTTGCCTAGAGTATTTTTTTATGACAAATTGTAAGGGCTGTTGAATGCTCATGGCTATTTTGTAAGGCTATTTGCTGCAGTTAATTATTATTCAGAAATGAATTAGAAGACTGGTTTATGTTTAAGGGAAAATTACATGCATAAGATCCTTTTGTGATTCCCTTCTCTACAAACTATTAACCTAAAAAATCAGAAGTACGTGAGATAGATAGATATATGGGGTTTATTTTAAAATGACTGGAATTAATTTCAGGACATCCAGTAAGCAGTATCCCTAGTAGTAGCAAAGACTTACATGTGTATATCTTTTAGGTACATACAGGGCATAACTAGGGCAGGGTGCCTGGGGTAACTGCCCTGAGTGCCAAGTAGGGTAAGTGTGGGGGGGAAAGGGGCAGGTGCTGCCAACAGCCACATGACCACAACAGCAATTGTGCCAGCCAGTGCAGCGGCAACCAAAAGTTGCCACTGCCCCTGTGCCCCAGGCACCCGGCTGTATCTCTACGCTGCTGAGTACATGAACATCTCAGAGGAATTCAAATAGATTTACTTGCATGACTGAAGTTGAACATGTGTGTAAGCATTTTTAAGGTGAAGGGCCAATGTGGAAATGTGGACTGTCTGAGGAGCATTTGATACACTGGTGATGTTTTCTTGCAATTTTAAATGATTACATAGTTACCCTAATTTGGAAAAAGCTCTTTTGTCTGCTTGGTAGTAGTGTCTACAGCTATAAGAGACAGCTGGTTTTGGTAAATGCTCTTGGATCCTCCAGCCTGGAAGTACAGCTAGGCAGAGAATACTGCAGTGAACATTGCACTGCCCAAAGAAGTCCCATCCAGTTGTTTTTTGGTTAGAAAAGTTGTAC